ACTAGAATGGGGTACGTTAATCGTTTGCTTGGGACCAATTGGCTAGTCAAGTAGTGAGCCAATTTAAAATCGATAGTTTCGTATTGATTGTTGGTTTGAGTGCTTTTTCAAATTGGCAAAAAACACGAAAATTGTTTTTTAATATCTAGGGGAATTTACGTATTCTCGTCAATCTAAGCAGCGTCCGAACTTCTATTAGCGATTTCTCAGCGTCACACACATACATGACAGGTTTGTTTGTTGACATTTATCTGCTGCTTGCTGTTCTACCAATTCCAATCGACAGAATTGATCAAAACGGGTTGAACATGTTTTTACAACGCTCCAAACTTCTCAGGTGAGAGTGACTATTGTCGGCAGTTTCTTTTTCTTCGGCACCCTTTCCATTTGAACTGCGTGTTAACCAGCTGTTCTATTATCGGCAACTCGAAATCAGCCGTATTTTGTAGTATGTATATTTCATTTAAAGAAAAATATGGTATAACAGGAATTCACAGTCGTAAAAATGTAATCAGATTGAAGCTGAAAAGGTAAGGAATCGGCTTAATACATCCAGCGAAGAGTTTTGATGGGAAAATACAGTGAAATAAACGTTTCAATTTCGGTTGCCGAAAACAGTCAATGGGTGCCGAAGCCATAATTTACCCTACGTAAAATATGTAACACAAACTATATAAAAACTATAAACGATACCAACGGAAATACCCTAAGCTACAATATGGAATCAATGATTCTAATTTGGAAAAAAAAGTGCAGTCAGTAAATAAATTCCATATACTATCAAAGTTACCCGCATTATCAAAGATACCCAGGTAACAATCTTATGCTTAACTAGTGTTATTCAATCGATTTTAGTTCAGCCTTAGTTTGAATAATTGTTGTACATAGACCACAATAACCTTTTTCAGCTTTTAAACATCTAAATCTAGTGATTTTAATCAGCCAAAAGCTTCACAGTTATATAAATTATAAGCTTTTCAAGGCATTAGATAACAGTCTTTTCCAACCCTTGTTCAGCCTTCCAGTTTTATTTAGAAAAAAATAATTGAAGACTGCTTCATATCTTATATATTTTTATGGGACTGCAACAAGGTGCTGACTAACTAATTGGATTAACATATTTGTATTGTTATTATAAGTCTAAAAATTACCTTTGCATTTCGGGATTCGAACCGGTAGTCGCTCATTCACAGGCATCAATCATACCTACTGGATCACTTTAGCATATGTGAGGTAAAAGGTATGATCATTGACAAGAAACACGTCAAATTTAAGTTGAATAACAGCAACCGGAAGAGTATTATACAGCAATGGAGAATTGTAAACAACAACTGGTGACAGTAAAACATTCCTCCCATTTTCAAGTGCGCAATTTATTTCGATCATCATGTGGAAGCTGTTTTAGCACAGGCAAACAGACATAACACATTGAATATTTCTCACTGTAAAACATCGTCGCTAAAACATTACCGCCATCTGTTGAGTACACTGTGGTGGGTAGTACGATGAACAGATGGCGGTAGTGTGCAGACGTCAAACGCAAGGGAATTGGCTATGCGCACCACAAGTAGCGGTACTACCAACTACGATACTTTTAAATTGACCGTTAAATGCTTGTTCGATGAACAACTTGCGAGAGTTACGTCTGTTTGTCTGTGGTTTTAGTGCCATAATTGAGTTATATGTTTGGATATCTGTTTGAAAATTCAGTGCAATATAGCAGTCTAAACACAGTAATACAAATGTTAATGCTTCCGACGTCGTCGCAGCCCACTTCTACCAGGAGCTATTCCTAAAAAGCTCCTCTACCTTATCTCTACTGCTGCCGCTGCTTGGGATTAGAAAGGTAGGCAGTGAATATAGAAGAACTAAAATGCCGGAAATGCAACGAGTGATACTGACTACATTTAACACATCAGGCTATCACAATATTTTCAGTGCATTGCTGATTTGTGGAGTAGTATTATGCTAAAATAAGGCTTGTTCAAACTTTAGATCAGCTAACCTTAGAAAAAGCTAGCCTTATGCTCCATGTCCGAGTGAAGTGGGAACACTTCAGGAAGACTGGAGGAAATTTCCAAAACCTCACTCAGTGCCGTAAGTGCCAGGGATGGGGTCACGGAACTAAAATTGCTACATGCCAGCTAAATGCATGAATTGTGGTGATTCCTCTCACGCAAAGGACGACTGTCCTGTGAAGGAAGATCCTAAGAAATTTAAATGTTCAAATTGTGGTGAAAACCACAAATCCAATTTTTGGGAATGTAAGACTCGCAAAGCGATCCTACAATCTCGTTCTAACCGTCAGGTAGGAAACGCTCCACGTTTCCGACCAGGTACAAATTCCTATGCTGTTAACAACGGTCAGCGAGGAACAAATTCTACATTCGTACCCGTAGGTACAAATATCACCCCTGCTTCAAATTTTTCATCTGTACCTACTCCCCTCGCTGCTAACAATGTTCAACGAGTTAATGGAGCTACCTATGCTGCGGGTAGAAATCAAAATACTAACCAACGTTCTAACGGAAATTTTGACAATTTTGACTTAGGAAGCATTACTGCTCCTAAAATGGAATTTTTACAGAATTCATTAATTGACGTGATTTCTGATGCTATTCAAACTGGAGTAAAATTTGCAAATAATATTGTCATGACTTTAAAATTCAGTAATGGATTTTAAAGCATTAAATATTTTAAATTGGAATGCTCGATCTCTTAAAGATAATTAAGATGAGCTATTTAACTTTTTGAGAGTTCATAACGTGCATATTGCCGTTATAACTGAAACGTTCCTTAAACCTGACCATAAGGTTAAGAAGGACGCAAATTATTTGATTTATAGAAATGATCGTCTTGATGGACCCTGTGGTGGCGTTGCCATCATTGTTCATAGACGAATCAAACATAAAATCCTTTCTACATTTGAAACCAAAGTTTTTGAAACTTTGGGAGTTTCTGTTGAAACAGAATTTGGACAACTTACGTTTATAGCTGCCTATTTGCCATTCCAATGCGTAGGCCAGCAAAAGAATTTTCTCAAGGGTGACCTTCAGAAACTTACCCGTCATAGGTCTAAGTTCTTCATTATTGGTGGTTTTAATGCAAAACACCGCTCATGGAGTAATGCTCAAAGCAATTCAAATGTTAATATTCTGTTTGATGATTGTTCTGCAGGTTATTACACTATTCAATATCCAAACAGCCCAACATGCTTTTCTTCAGCGAGAAATCCCTCAACTATTGATTTGGTCTTAAGGGGTTACGCCTACCTGCAAACTTTCAAAAAATCGATTTTTTTTAATAGTCCTAATCGAAAGTATATAAAGTCAAGAATATTTCCTCAAAAGATCAAGTTGATCCGATGAAAATTGTGACAGTTATGCGACGTACAAAAATATTCACTTATAGTGGACTAAACCCAACTTGAAACTTTAAAGCGATTATCTCGGAATCATATTTTCAAAACCGGTGCCAAAAATTTCTCGAAATGTATACATTCGATTCGTCCGATTCGTTTTGATTTCTGTTCAGTACTATTTTGTGCAGTCCACGATCGTTCGGATTTCGTCTATCATTTAATTTCGATTTTTTACAGCCGATCAAAGACAAATTTTAAGGATCAACAATCGACACTTCAACTTTGCAAGGCCACCATTTTGTCAAAAAAATTAAAAAAAACCGAACGATCAAGGACTAGTTTAACACATGCTTAACGATTTGGCATGGTTTTTTTTATTTCAGATGATTACGTCACAAACCGCAGTTGGCACCGCAAAAAGCGTTTTTTAGAACATCGTCCACGGGGAGCAGCCGTGCGGGGCACCAGGACCTCGTGTTCGCAGCATCGACTGATAAATGTACCATTTAATGTGTGTTCAATAAACGGCAGAAAACCGATTTTCAATATGTTGCGTCGTTTTCGAGAAAAAAATCCAAACTTTCGCTTTTTTTTCGGTCTTGCAGGTAGGCGTAACCCCTTAACTGATTCATGTCAACTTTGTAGCCAATTGGTTACCCATGCTGACTTCGGTTCTGATCACCTTCCAGTAACTTTTGAAATATCGCAAGAAATAATTTCTAATCCCAACAGCTCTACTTTCAATTACCATAGAGCTGATTGGGAGCTCATAGAGCTCATTTATGGAATATTATTTCGATGCAAATATTCCTTTGCAAACCAAAGATGATATTAATTATGCTCTTGAATCTCTCACTACTTGAAGCAAGAGCTGCCTCAGTACTGAAATGCAAATGCAATGCAAAATTCGATTCAATTATAATAGACGACGATCTTCAGCTCTTGATCCATCTTAAAAATGTCCGTAGGAGACAATATCAAAGAACACACGATCTTGCCATGAAAGTTATCTGGCGGGGCAAAAACAAATTAAAAAGCGATTCTCTGCCCTGAGGAACACCAATTTTGAAAATAATGTGTCAAAATTAGACCCGAGTGTCAGACTCTTTTGCAAGGGCGGCATAGAATATTCCTTAGAAGCTAATTTTAGAATTTACATAAGAAGCTTATTTTAGTATCTTTATTAGAAGCTTCTTTTAGAAGCTTCTTTTGAAATATTATTTATAGAATTTTCTTTTAGCCATATTCTTAAGACCTGCCCATCGCTCCGATCCTCTGACTAAATAAAACATGGAAAGGACAGTATATCTGAATAGCTTTACATTCTCTCGTCGGATGTAATTGAAAGCTTTCTTACTCTTTGAAGCCGAAATCACGTACATAATTTTAATATTTAATTGTTATTCACATACTGCAGTCAATCGGCTTATGCCAGATTTGCAGACATATTTACAATTACAATACCATCCATTATCGTTCATTCTCATCACACCTGCCCGAGTATTTTAGTGTAAAATTCCATTAGATTTCACCTTCAGCCCGGGCAATCTCGTTTTTATTGGCCACTAGAAACAAGCAACTATCTATCTCTCTACCTAAGCCATCACCACTCACAGTTCCCGGCGTCAGTATACATTACCTTAGTTTGCTACTTTCCGCCACATCCATATTGTTTTATTGCTCGGTAGCAACAGCAGCAGCTGGTTTTTGCAGGGAACACAAAAACAGAAAACTTTCGCAAAACAAGTTTGAGCGTTTGTAGTTTGTTGGGCAGTCGATTAGCTGCTCGGTTGGTGCTCCTATCACTCTACCACCCACCTGGTGGTTGTTGACACAATTGTTAGGGAATTATTTTATCTTGCACTAATTTGGATTTCGTCGCATTGTTGTTAACGAATTTCACACGCTATAAAATCCAGCTGTTCAAATTTGACGCACTTCCAGTAGCTAAAGCTTCACTAATTATTTACACTATTTTATTCTTCTTTAATTTCAGATCACTCAACAGCGTCACGTTGAGTTTAAAAATTATGACTCTTGCACTTTTTCCACTCAGCGGTAGCTCATTATGCCGATCGCGCGGAATTGCCGTTTGACCATGTTGTGTGCAAAATAGTGACTGCCGCCTGGCAAAAATTCCATTCGGTTCAATGGGCAAAAACTTGTTTCGGGTCCGTAGCTGTCGTCGTTGACGTAACAAACCGAAAGGAACTCACGGCCAACCGGCCTGTGCAGTCCGTCACTCAGGGTGGATTGAGGCCAACGATGCGTTGCAAAATAAGCCACTGATCACCGGGGTGTAAATATTTCACCGAACAGTACTTTCTATCCAACACGCCGCAAATTGACTGGTGCCCACCCAACTTCTGGAGATTGATTCCGGTTGATGGAATCGAATCGGAGCAGCACCTTCTACTCCAGTGTGCACAAACAAGAAACAAGAACGAACCGATTGTGCTGAACGCAAACAATCGACTGACTGAGCCAGGCTGGATAAAGGCTCAGCATTCAACCCGACGCCCAACGACGACGTCTGTCGATCTCGATGGTATTGCAGGCATATGGTGGTTGTGTGGTATTTCCCTCCGGGCCAATGATTAGGCACACGCCGCACACTGCCACTCGAAGCGAGATTGGGGGTGATAATCGGTTCGTTAAATACTTGGCAATTGTACAGCAGTATTAAGATGTTATGATGGATACACCGAAACTCGTGTACAGGTAAACGTGTTGCTGTAGTTATTTGTCCGATAAACACCGACCATCAAGGTATCAAGTCCGCATGAAAAAATCCAGAGCATCACCAGAACAGGGCCTTTGCAACATATGTTAATAATGGGTATTTGCGTCGATTTCTCACGAATTACAACACACCCTCGCAAACGGCCGTTGGTTTACCTGACTAAGTCTTAAGCAGACACCATACGGGAAAAAATATTGTCAATAATCATTGGTATTGACAATCATATTGATACAAATATTGATGAACAAATTAACGCAAAATCGAAACAGTTTGATTTCATGTAGCAATATTTCCAACCATTTTCTCCTTTTGTTTGACTACACGCTATTTCAAAACTACCCAAACTTGGGAACAGTCCAGCCAGATCGGTCAAAGCTGAACCTTCCCAAAAATTGGTAAACTATGTTGGGAGTAACAAGCTGACAAATGGACAACATTGACATCCGACAGAATTTGTTCATTTGTTAACTTGTACTCCCAACATACACTGAGGCAAATGGACGTAAGAATTACATAAGATCTACTTTTTAGCCACAAGGAATCAGTATGAATTGCACTGATTTGCCTTATGAAATATAATGTTGACAAAAAAATAATACAACGGAGCAGACTGGAACCGAACCATGGACTTAACGTGTAGATCACTCGTCTTTCAACGCTTAGGAAAATCAAACGGTTATAAGAGCTACCTCATGCTAGACGAAAATCATTCAAAAGTCACGCTTATGAAATTCATATGTGTCGTTCATAAGTCGAGCCTTATGAAATTCTTGCCTCTGTGAAGTTTACCCATTTTTGGGTAGGTTCAGTTTTGACCGTTCTGGGTGGATTCCACCCAAATTTGGGTAGTTTTGAAATAGCTTGTACAGCATCAGCATATGGATCCTGCTCCTGTGCATCTTTTGTCAGTAAAGTTGTCATTTGTATTGGAATAGTCCATCGGATACAACAAATTTAATGATGAGGAGCTCAGTGTTGATTACCCACCAAAATTATTGTTGAAAATATTGACATAAATCTTTTGATGGAACTATTGACAATACTTCTATGGTGTGAAGTGCACTTTAATCCACGGGAAACTGACATATAAAGTAATTTCTCGAATTTGACATACAGGCCCTTGTCATATGTTGCTCTACACATAGTCATTAAATTGTTTAATAGCGAATTCGTTTATCATCGGAGTTGGAACCAGTTTTAAACCAGGTTTCAATCCAGTGCGAAACCAAACTTTATGTCAGTGCGAACCTCAACCTGAGGTAGGTTTTAAAAACAAACGATCAAACTGACAAGCAGACCCAATCTTGATACCCGATCCAGGTTGGAACTGAATAATAAACGAATTCGCTATAAGTGATTGGGAGAAGAAATTCTTGATGATCGTAAAAGGAACTTTACCTGATGACTGAGCAATGAGACACCACAGACAAACAGACATAACACATTGAATATGTTCACATTGCAACATCGTCGTTAGGACACTACTGCCATCTGTTAAGTACACTGTGATGTGCAATATGCTCAACAGATAGCAGCCGTAGTGTGTAAACGTAATAAGCAAGGAAATGTACTACACTGAACGAAAAAAACCACTTTACTTCAACTGATTATTGCATTGCTAGAGCCCTTTAACAATATGCTATTGAATTTCGGATGATTTCCTTATGGTTGAATTCGTCATCAACTGATGAGCATCCATATGACTGTCCTCCAAATAAAGGATGATATTTATTTGAAAATTGACTGTAAAACATACAGGGCTCAGAGGACAACAATTTAAGAATGATTTGCAAATGCTTTAGATTAGATTATTAATTCGATTGTTAACATTTCCATATTGAATAGACATGAACAGCCATTCATCATGGATACAAAAATTCCTTGTTGGTTAACAAGAAACTATTGAAAAGTGGTAATTGTCAAGCATTGTCCAAAAGCATCGAAATAAGTGACGAATCCACCAATAACGTACAATGCTGCTTCCCCAACACAATCATCAGATAATCGTTTCTAGACGAAACATGCCAATGTTGCATTGATGCTTCCCCAACACTGTCATCAGAGAGTCGTTCGAAGACGAAACAAGTTGAAGTGGCTCCAGAGTTGTAATGTTGTAACCAAGTGGGCGCAAGTGATTTTGATCGATTCTCTTCATCGACTATCTGTTTCGTTAATAACACTGGGTTACACTTGCTGGTTGCAATTCTTCTGTTTGACATTTTCGAAGGACCACCAAAAACAAGAAATTTCATTATTTTCTAGGGATGCCTTAAAGTCGATGAATCGCAAAGATTTTTCCAGCTATTCGATTAAATATTTACCGAATTTTCATTTATTCGAGCGCGTAACTGACATCTATTCTTATTTCCAAACGTTTGATTTAGCGCATTAGAGAAAAAAAATAAGAGTACTAATTTATCTGAACAGGCATAAAGAAGAACCAAGACGTGAAACAGTATCATAAATTATCCGAAAACAGTGTTAAGCGTCTTTCTGCTAAAGGAAAAGATTAATCAACTTGTTGAGACAAGGAGTTTAACGAGAAAAACTAAAAAGGGGAGGAGCTTAAGTTGGGTTGACACTCATCATAATCTTCCAAATGCTTTAAGCCTGTACTATCCTTTTCAGGGCCACCAAGATTTACCAAAATAGCTAATTTTTTGAACATGTCCCAACTAAAATTCATATCAAGAGGTTCTTTTCAGGGCAATCTAGAGAAGAGTATGAACAGTGAAAACCCCGCTCAAATTTCCATTCCTACGCAAAATACAAGCTCCTGCTGCAGTTAAAAAATAGCATTTATTATATAAGACCACGTAGTCCTACGTCCCCATTGCGTACAACCCCATAGGGCTGTCCATTGTAGTTTTTTCTTGATTTGTTTTCCATACCAATGCTACCGACACCAGGGTGACAACTCCCACACCTGGACCCTACCTATCGACCCATCAACTCATGAATCAGGGACCAACGGCTTTACTTGCCGAAGGAGTGATCAAAGATTTTATGCCTAAGAACATCCCGACTGCGTCGACTGGGATTGAACCCAGGCTTGCTGGGGTGAGAGGCAATCACGGTTACCGTTACACCACCGGTGTCGCTCAGCATTAAATGTTGTAAGCAATAATTTAATATACTTCAAAAAACTATCAAAGCTACCCCGTTTAACAAAAATGTTAAAAAGCGTTTATATATAGTAATTTCAAGAACTAAGTTTGTAACAGAAAACAGGAAAATCGTTAACTGGCAGTAGGGACTTTCGAACATTCTGTAATTAGAAATGCATGATGCTGTGGGTCTAGTCTAGTCTAGTCTAGTCTACACATACACAGCCAGTACTTGAAAGAATCCTGGAAAATGATACATCTATCATTTTTCTTGTCATTATTAATGCCTGCTGCACATCAAGGATGTGAAACAAACAATAAAGCGGCCAGGCCTACTGTGTAGCGTTTAGTTAATTTTTGTGGAAGTGAATGTTTACCATGTCTACTTAATAAGTATAGACAGTGGTTAACATTTAATCCACAGGTAATCAAAGAGCGGGGACATACCGTACCAACCGCTCCGTATGCAGGATTTGAAAATAGGCTATATAAATCGTTGGGAGTGACAGAGCTAAGAAAGTTAATGTACACTCCTTGGTTGTCCGATCTCCTGGGATGGAACACAGGTATTTACCCCTTGTGTTCGAGCGTACAGTCCTCCCTCCGTACAAGCGTGGACGGCACCGCCAACCCACTGCCATTCCTCAATCGATCCAGCCGACCTCAGTCGAAGGACAACAGAGAGCGGTGTGCGGACGTAACCTATACGGAGGGAATGCTGTATTCGCCTAGGTTATAGCGCCCTTGCTCGCTACCATTTTCTTCTAGCGGTTGGGACCTGAGCACTAACTCTTGTCCTAGCCCTATATGGCATATGGTTATAGCGCCATTACTCGCTTTCTGAAAAGAGAAGAAGGGAAGGGAAGGAGAGGAAAAGGACTTGGGAAAAGGAAAAGCGGAATTCCTTTCCTCATTATTATTTGTATCGGGGGCGACCCCGGCGTAGTGATTAGCATCAATAGGGTAACCAACTGATTTTGGACCCCTAGAGGAAGTGAGATCACGTTTATGTCAAAATAATATTATTTGTTTATTATTATTATGCAATTTACATGCGGTTGTGTTCGAAAGCTACTCATCTTGGATGTAAAATGTCACTAGATGTTTTATTTATTGATATATACTCGAAAAATAATTCTTTTCACATCATGATATTCACATATTTTGGACCCTTCCACTTGATTTTGGACAGTGTCCATAATATATTTTGGACACACTGAATGGGAACGAATATATTTTGGACATGCTGAAGTTCTTTCAACCTATGAGCCTAAAATTAATTACGACGGTCACTTCTTCCTATCTCGCATTTGTTAGGTCCGTCTAGGTGGGAAAATTTTCAAAGAAGGTGCCGTAAAACGGGGTGAAATTGATCAGCGGGGTGAATTTGATCGCTGAGTATACCCAATATTGTACTTATGCATAATATTTTTACAATGTATACAAAGATACATTCGTACGCTTAGTAACGAAAAACATGTTACACATGAAAAAATATCACGAGAAATTTCAGCGATCAATTTTGCCCCGCTGATCAATTACACCCCGTTTTACGGTATGTA